TGCATTTTTTTACCACTAAAATACAGCAACACATCTTTGATTCATGTCGTTTATAACTGGAATATTACAATTATTATTAACTTTGTCTGTACAAAGTAGCCTGTCCAGGCAATATGCCCAAATCAACAAAAACTGCGAGCCGGCAGGCAAGACGCTCCACTTCTGAAATGCTTCTGAAACGCGCCCAGTAGGGTATGACGCCGGAGGAGGCCGGACCAAAACCGCAGCCGTGATGCGACGCAGACGGACTCGGTGGAATCTAGGGGTAACACAGAAAAAACCTGTCTATGCTGCCCCAGAACGCCTCGTTGGAGATTTCTCATTTTCCGTTTTCTTCCTGGGTTCTGTGACGTGTGAACACCCAGATCAACAACAAATGACCGGATTGGCCCAAATGGACCAATCCGCGGAGCTCCTCACACACCAGGATCCCTTGGCTAACTAACAGGGAGTCCCCATTGACTTGCATAGAGCTCCCTGAACGCTGGTAATAGACAAGTTGGGATGGCGGAGAAATGCTCTCCGCAGACCCATTCTCACAGCGTTATAAACCTTTTTCTTACTCAATATCAAGCCACACTTATTGTTTTTACTTCGGCTGTGAGTGTTAGTGTGTCCTCAGGATGAGTTTCGCTTGTTCTCGCTGTATCGCCGACCCGGAAACCTGTCCGCTCCTCGCAGCAGCGGCGAGCAGCAACGAGCCTCGCAACGTCCCGACCAATCAGAGCACACTGGGCTCACAGGGAGGGGGGGGCAGGAGCTCCAACAAGCCGTTTAGGAAAGAGAGTGAATACACATACTATACAGAGATGCTGTATGAGAAACCAATGTGATTTTGGAAAATTGCACAATATAAATCTATTCTAGTAGACCTCAACAATGGAATTATGATCAGTAGAAATGGCCATGACATGGGACCTTTAAATCAAGCTCTGTGTGTATTTAAGTGTAGGACAGCTTGTGTGTAATTTCATTTGTTAAAACAGAATGTTTGTTGATAATTTGTTATTAATAACACGATAATCTCCCCATCAATATGAGGACTGCAGAAAGTAAACTTGTCTTCCGCTGTAAACAGAATATCCATTTGTTTCACTACACCTTGGCCATTAAAGAAAGTTGTTGTAGTACTTCAATTGGTTTTACTTATTGGAAGGTAATGTATACATGCAGGATTGAGTTTGTATCCTCATGATGTTTTGCACTTAATGCAGGCCCCTTCGGATAAAAGTGTCAATACATGTAATGTACTGACACTTTGCAATGATTTTAAGAATATGGACCTTTATGAATCTTTACTTCATATAGTAATAAACTAGTCAAGACGCTAATATACACATGGAAACTTTTCCTTGCCAGCTCCTTTCAAACTTCTCCTGTTTTTAACATTATAATACGATGTGTTCTGGATACAGTCATACCTCAAACCAAGTCTGCTGTATTTTAATTAACGCGGAAATGCAAAATAAGCAAGAAATGTGTGAGAAAGCCCTCAAGATCTAGCTAATTTCACAGTGAACCTTAATGACCCCATGTAGGCCAGAGTTTTCCAAGTGTCACAACTTTTAACTTTTTCATTATGGTGACACCATCTGGCCAATTGGTGCAATTTAAGACTTTTTTTTAATTTTTTTAACTAATGTGCTTGTTTGAGTCTTGCTTACAGTCTTTGAGGGGAAGAAACTGACCTGCATGGTGTTCAGTCAACATCTGGTGGTCACAAAGCTGTATTACAGTCAATGTTTCTGTTAAGAGAAGAACAAGCAGCTTCAATGGAAGATGATAAAAGCTCTCAGAAATCATGAAATGCCACAATTAAGCTTTTGAGAATTGTAATTAAAAAAAAACATGGATGGCAGACACAAGTTAATATAGGATTACTGGGAAGAAATCACAGTTTGATGTATTGGTTTGCGATGATTAATCAAGCCGAATCAGAATCCTTCTTTAACCCCGGGGGGGCATTATGTTTTGTGACAGTTCCTGTAATTGAGAATAAAATAGAATAGAATAAAACATAATGTTATTAAATAAGAAGCTGAAGAAAGAAGGAACAATATAAAGATATATTTAAGATATAATAAAGATATTTATATAAACATACTAACTTGTTCTATTTTTTAATATTGAGTTTACTTTACTGTTGTTACGTTAATAGTGTGTGCTTATGTTTATTTTCTATTTAAAGGGCCCATGTCATGGCCATTTCCACTGATCATAATTCCATTGTTGAGGTCTACTAGAATAGATTTATATTGTGCAATTTTCCAAACTCACATTGGTTTCTCATACAGCATCTCTGTAAACTACGTGTATTCACTGAATTTCACTCTCTGCCTTTAACGGCTCGTTGTAGCTCCAATAGCTCCAGCCCCCACCCTCCCTGTGAGCACAGTGTGCTCTGATTGGTCAGGACGTTGTGAATCGCGCTGAGCTCCGTGGAGGTGTTGTTTCCTTGTTAGCGATACACAGCCGAACACAGCCAAACTCATCCTGAGCACACACAAAGTCACAGCCGAAGTAAAAACAATAGTGGCTTGATATTGAGTAAGAAAAAGGTTGATAAACGCTGTGAGAATGGGTCTGCAGAGAGAATTTCGCCGCGATCCCAACTGTCTGTTATCAGCCTGCAGCCAGGGAGGAGAAATCAGCTGAGCTGTGTGTGTGTGTGAGGAAGTCCGTGGATTGGTCAATTTGGACCAATCAGCGGGGGCTTAACGTAACGGCTCCGCGGACGTAACGTAACGGCTCCACGGATTGGTCCATTTCGTTCCGGGTACGGCTTGACATCATGCTGTACCCGGAACGAAATGGAAGAATCAAATGGACAATGACGTTCTCCAACGAGGCGTTTTGGGGAGGTATTTTCTGTGTTAGAGTTTTACTCGCTACAGGGTGTACTTTGAGGGTTTGTGACTCTGCACACCGTTTACATGCATAAAAACTTTCATAACACACAAGGGGACGGGTAATAACCGGAAAAGCATGACATGGGCCCTTTAATTTAATTTAATTGTAATTAATGTCCAATGCCTTGTTTACATGCTTCTATGACAAAACTATTTCCCAAATTGGGATCAATACAAAAGAATGTATATATCTTTTTTCATATTTATTTATTTATCTATTCCTATTTAATCCAATGTTATCTCCTTTGTAACCTCAAGACTGGACTATTGCAACGCTCTGTATGTGGGTATGGACCAGGCCTCAATTAAACGCCTGCAGCTAGTCCAAAACGCAGCTGCACGTTTGCTGACTGGCCACAAAAAGCGTGACCACATCACCCCTATTCTGGCCTCACTGCACTGGCTTCCAGTTCGGTTCAGAATTGATTTTAAAATCCTTTTATTTGTTTTTAAAGCACTAAATGGGCTGGCTCCGGCCTATATAGCTGAACTCCTCGAGCGCTACACCCCAGCCAGACCTTTAAGGTCTGCTGACCAGCTGCTGCTGGTAGTGCCCAAGACCAGGCTTAAAACCAGAGGGCACCGAGCCTTCGCAGCAGCTGGCCGTAGGCTCTGGAACACTCTGCCCCTCCATGTGAGGTCGGCCCAGACCCTAGGGGTTTTTAAATCCACTCTAAAAACACACTTCTTCTCTCTGGCTTTCTAGTTAGAGCGGAGCACGACTCCTGACTTTTCCTTGTGTTTTTATTTTAATTTTGTTTTTTATATATATCTGTTGTAACTTATTGTCGTTTATTGTGATTGTAGTAATGTGTTTTTATTACATGTACAGCACTTTGGCTCGACCAAAAATCGCTTTTAAATGTGCTATATAAATAAAACCTGATTTGATTTGATTTGATCTAAAACATGAATATATATTCAATTTTAATGAAATGTAAAAAAATATAAATAATCAAATTCTAATACAAAACTAAACAACCCAAAATCCCAAAATGCCTATAATTTGTTGCCATCTACATGTCTTTGTTGTTCCCCTGTTGGTAGTTAAACGCCATTGCAGTGAGCCTGCAGTACCACCGCTGCTCGCCAGCAGGGGGCGCTGCTCTGCAGTAAAAGACCCGGATCAACAGGGTGCCTCATTGAATCAGTTTGAGCCTTTTTCCTCAACTTTTTTTTCACCGCCCAGACTGCTTCTGTTATTTGGGCTGAGAGAAAGGAAGTAGCTTATTGTCGTTTATTGTGATTGTAGTAATGTGTTTTTATTACATGTACAGCACTTTGGCTCGACCAAAAATCGCTTTTAAATGTGCTATATAAATAAAACCTGATTTGATTTGATTTGATCTAAAACATGAATATATATTCAATTTGAATGAAATGTAAAAAAATATAAATAATCAAATTCTAATACAAAACTAAACAACCCAAAATCCCAAAATGCCTATAATTTGTTGCCATCGACATGTCTTTATTGTTCCCCTGTTGGTAGTTAAACGCCATTGCAGTGAGCCTGCAGTACCACCGCTGCTCGCCAGCAGGGGGCGCTGCTCTGCAGTAAAAGACCCGGATCAACAGGGTGCCTCATTGAATCAGTTTGAGCCTTTTTCCTCAACTTTTTTTTTCACCGCCCAGACTGCTTCTGTTATTTGGGCTGAGAGAAAGGAAGTAGCTTATTGTCGTTTATTGTGATTGTAGTAATGTGTTTTTATTACATGTACAGCACTTTGGCTCGACCAAAAATCGCTTTTAAATGTGCTATATAAATAAAACCTGATTTGATTTGATTTGATCTAAAACATGAATATATATTCAATTTGAATGAAATGTAAAAAAATATAAATAATCAAATTCTAATACAAAACTAAACAACCCAAAGTCCCAAAATGCCTATAATTTGTTGCCATCGACATGTCTTTATTGTTCCCCTGTTGGTAGTTAAACGCCATTGCAGTGAGCCTGCAGTACCACCGCTGCTCGCCAGCAGGGGGCGCTGCTCTGCAGTAAAAGACCCGGATCAACAGGGTGCCTCATTGAATCAGTTTGAGCCTTTTTCCTCAACTTTTTTTTCACCGCCCAGACTGCTTCTGTTATTTGGGCTGAGAGAAAGGAAGTAGCGACAGGCTAGCTGGTTAGCCGGCGTGAAGCAGTCTGTCAGGAAAGAGAAGAGCATATTTTATAACCTCTGAAACTGCTGTTCTTTGTTTAATACACGCGTTTAAAACGGGGTCGTTTTTTTTGTCTTTCAACCCGGATTTCAAACCTTCAATCTGAATCCAGCTTTGTCTGTGGGGGGACTCCACTCCGCTGTTAGCCTGCTTAAAACAAGTCATTTTTATCCATTAAAAAAGGAGAACTACACACTTCAAAGAAGCCACCTTTTGGTTATCTTTTTTTATTTTTTCGCCGGTTGGTGGAATGCAAACAAGGATTACTCCAGGACAATGAGACAAACAGCCGTTCAAGGTAAAATCCTGTTCAACTGTACGAGCTGTGAATGTTTATATGGCACAGTAATGTATTTATCGACTTATTTGTGGTATATTTATGTCGAAATATGTGTGTTTTATGGCCACAATGCATTGACAGAGGTGTTATAGGAAGTTATTGTGTACTAGCTTTAGTGAATTAACTGCCAACCGTTGAATTCACACTACATTGTAACGTTCCATTTTAACGTTCAATTGTAACGTTCAATTTCAACACACCGTCGAGGCTTGTAGCTAACTCGGTTACTGTTATGTTAATTGTTGATAAAAGCATGTTGCCTCTCTGTTCAGTGCTAACTACAGCATAGTTGCATCTAGTTAGTTAGTGTGTGTTAGTGGTGTAAAGTAATTTAAGTTAATCTACTCAAGTACTGCACTTAAGTACAAATAAAATAGGTTCTTACTTTAGTATTTTCACAATAAAGCTACTATACTTTTTACTCCACTACATTTATTTTACAGATTTAATCACTAGCTACTTTGCAGATTTAGATTATTAATACAAAATCCAAATCAACTAATATATAATCATGTATTAGTATAGGTTAGGCTTTCCAGTAGTATATACAGTAATTCAAATAAACCCCATGTTTACCACATTTAAATTATTGATCAATAATTAATACAACAATTTAAAACATATGGTGCTTAAATGGGCCATTCTGCATACTAGTACTTTTACTTTTGGTACTTAAAGTACATTAACATGTTTACTTTTACTTAAGTACACTTTATCTTGTAACTGAGTATTTTGACACTGTGTGTACTTTACTTTAGTACAATATCTGTGTACTTCTTCCACCCCTGATTGTTGGTTACAGCATGTTTCCAGTCTGGTGGTCAGTGCTAACTACAGCATAGTGTGTGTGTGTGTGTGTGTGTGTGTGTGTGTGTGTGTGTGTGTGTGTGGGTGTGTGTGTGTGGTGTGTGTGTGTTGTGTGTGTGTGTGTGTGTGTGTGTGTGTGTGTGTGTGTGTGGTGTGTGTGTGTGTGTGTGTGTGTGTGTGTGTTGTGTGTGTGTGTGTGTGTGTGTGTGTGTTGTGTGTGTGTGTGTGTGTGTGTGTGTGTGTGTGTGTGTGTGTGTGTGTGTGTGTGTGTGTGTGTGTGTGTGTGTGTGTGTGTGTGTGTGTGTGTGTGTGTGTGTGTGTGTGTGTGTGTGTGTGTGTGTGTGTGTGTGTGTGTGTGTGTGTGTGTGTGTGTGTGTGTGTGTGTGTGTGTGTGTGTGTGTGTGTGTGTGTGTGTGTGTGTGTGTGTGTGTGTGTGTGTGTGTGTGTGTGTGTGTAGGCTGAGCATGTAGGCTGACTGGTTGCAGTGCAATGTGCCCATGCCTGGCTGTAAATGTGACTAACCTACATGTCAGTGCCTTGTTGTTTTTGTCACTTGGATTTCAGCAAAAGCTCCACATTTTAGATTTTTCTTTGCAAACTCTTTAGTCCTCAAAGTAAATCCTAACCAGACTTTTCTAGAAAGAGGGCAACTACAGTTTACCCAAATTACAAGTGTATTATAACTGTTATTATGTGCTCTCAATGGTAGTGGTGGTGCACAGTTTATGTCAACAGTGGAGAACAGCCATGGTTTCCAGTGATATGTGAAGTAATGTAATACAGCAACAGAACAATTTAGACTTGGTATATATTGAGACAGTTTTGCTGTTGTAGAAATTAATGGTTTATTTTTGTGACTATATGGAATTGTTTTGGTCTGAGCCTTTTATACAAATATGCTATGTTACGTGATATACAGTAGGTTAGAGTCTGTTTTTCCCCGTACAACAACTTTCAATTTGACTGTCTGTCTGGCTGAGTAATATCAGCAGTTACTGCCTCTTCTTACTTTTACTGTCATAACCCACTAACAATAATACCGCCCACCGTTGTTCATGTCTGTAATCGTGTGAAACTACTGTCACCAAATCAATTTAAAGAGGTCTTCACTAAATACTTGGGTGTATGTTTGAGATCAAAATTAAAAACGGTTATTTTCTAATGTTTTTTACATGGCAAATCTATTTAGAACCACTTTTAAACAAATTGCAGTGATTGTTGTCGTTACATTACATTACGCCAAACCTTAACCAAATGTTCCACACAAGCTGCAGGACCGAGCTCTCTCGCTACATGACTGGGTGGTGGAAAAAAGTAATCATACGTAGGAACATTAAAATTAGGCACATATGCACTTCACTTCGGAGTTCCTCACCCTCTCGTTTCCCTTTTTCCATTTCTCTGATTCACTTTGGTCTGAACACTGTTGTGCACGTTTAAAGTGGAATAAGTAGCAAGTAATTGTAACATTTATTATTATGTGTTTATAAGCCTCATGATTGGACCCAGAATTACTTAAATCACGTAAGACTAAAGAGTGGAAACCTTTCAAATGGAACTGTTGTAGGGTTATGAATGGGAAGTGCAGCAAATGTAATGTGACCCTGCAAAAAAAGTAGGTGGGAAATCAACACATAGTGGATGTAATTATCCTTTCATATTTCATTACATTGTTCAATTTAGTTTGAGTGTATTTTCCTGAGCAAGTGACAGTGTTGTAAAGTCTATTTTGTTATATATTTAATTTCCATTCCTCTTCTGTAGTTCATGGAACACACACATTAATGTATTTACCACAAATGAGTACATAATTATACAAATAATAACCATAACAAAACAGTCGGAAACCAATTGTCCTCAGATGTTATGCATACCACACTTCCTCATTGAACTACAAAGCTTGTGTGTAGAATATAAATGCAAGTGACATCTCATTAAAAAGACATCTCATTAAACAAGATGAGCGCAATCAGATTTTTAAATTGAATCTTCAAGACCTCTCGAAGTCATTGAGAAAAATGTAGATTAGATTTCATACTACATTATTTAACACTTGTAATAGTACATGATATAGGCATTAAATATTAACCTTACTAGAGTTATTCTGCTGAAATGCTGGGTGTGTGTGTGTGTGTGTAGCATCTGTAATCCTGAGGGTGTGTACGACCTGCCAACGACTCTTTGGATCAAGACTCAGCGTATCCAATACAGTCAAGATCCCCATCTGTCACATCAAAAATCTAATTTACATCCCAATCCCTCAGAGAACGCTTTACAGTCAAATCTCAGATGTATCCTGTCTCACAATTTTAATTAAAGTCATTATTTAGAAATGTAAAAAGGTAGAGGTGTTACTGAATATTGATACCGTTCAGATATGAACTAGGATTGCACAATATTGGATACAAGCTCATACAGACGATAGAATAAACATATATGTTGTTATCTGCGATATTGCAATATTAAAAAAGATAGGAATTTGACAACAATGACAAACAAGAAGCTGTTTTTTAATATTCACAATCCTTTTATTGGATTTTTCCATCTAACTGACCTTCTGTTGCATTGTTTTGCACAACCAAATCTTCAGTTTTTCTCATGGTCCTTGTTCATTTCAAGATCGTTTGGTGAATCAATCTATATTCATTGTGATTGGTTGCTGGCTATGCGCATGCAGAGCTTGCATGTTACTCATTACACACTATGTATTTGACAACCCTTAGTAGTAAATAATGTTGAATCACACATCCTTTACTTGCAGATTAGTCATGAAAGATGAGATTATAATGTGACCTTTTTTATCAAGATGCTAAAAAATGAGTCGCTTGACATATTAAAGTGAATTGTCCTTCCTTGATATTGCACATATCGTAATAATGTCGATGCTAAAATTATATATAATGCAGCCCTTACACATAATGCTGTCTTAACACGTATGAATGGTTTCTTAGCTGTAGCTGTATTATTAACATCCACTTAATTATTCACTTAAAAGCCCCATCCCACTATCTTCCAATGATTGTAAACAAAACCCCCCACAAATGATGTTGCTATGCAGCCAATTTGAGCCCATATCCGTACTCAGAAACACTTAGGCAGTCCCCAGAAAGGCTCTCTGCCATCTCTGAGAGAGAAAAGGACCATATGGCTCCCTGCTAATGGCTGGTACTCTGCAAACCCCCACTCCTCCACTGCAGATCTGACAGTGGTGGAGGAAGAGTAGGGGGTTGGGGGAAGGAAGACCAATTACATCTCCAGCTCAGCCCTGAGATGTGATTGGTCCTCACGTCCTGGCGGATGCAATTGTGTGAAACAGCGGAGGAAAAGATAATTGCTTCAATCATAGCCGTGCAGATATTTCTCAGAGGACACGTTCAAGGGTTTCCTCAGACTAGGCTTTTATTATTCGGCTTATTTTCAACCTCTAAATCTATCCAAGTGTTATTGAATATTCATTCCCAAACAGATAACACTATAAATCAGTTTTATTGCAGTTATCTATGCTTTAGCGAACCATGCAGATCGTTGGTTTGTATCAGAATTAGGGATGGGAATTTGAAAGCAAATGTATATTCGAATATTCGACCCCCAAAAAAACGGTAACATGGCCTATACACATGCAGCTATTCAATACTCATTCTTGTTTAAGAATATGAGCATGTCTACTCAGGGGAGAGGCGGGTGCGGAGGCGATTCACAATCAGGCCAGCTGTAGAGAAGACCCTCTCAGCTGGAATTTGGGCATAAGATGAGGTTTGAGTCTGCGTGATCTGCGTGTAGGGAGGGGCAGCAGCCATATCATTAGCTAGAACTAGCTAGATCTGATGGATTTGGACATAAACGCGAGTGAAGTATAACCGGACGCGAGAGAGAGATCAGCACCTGCAGCTCTGCCCGCTGTGAGGGACCGGTGAGCGGAGCAAAACACACCTTTAGACCTAACACACTTAGCTATGGTACTGTCATATACATTGAATTATTCCATTTGATCATATGTAATCAACTTAGGCACCCCTCCTAAACATTTTTGAATATTCGATTAATCGTTCCCATCCCTAATCAGAATCAGAAGAGGTGAGTGGGGAAAGAGGTGCAGATATTAAGAGAGATAGCTTTTGTTCATATATGTCGTGCCAGTTTCCTGCGTATGT